CAATTTTGGCCTATAAAAGGATGCATTTGCCATGCATTTAGGCATCTTGGTTTCTAGATCAAGATCATGCTCTTGCTTTCTTTCTTTGTATTTTTTGTAATGTTTATGCTTTGTTTTCATTAATATCAAGTTTATGCCTTTCATTTCCTTTCCTTTACTTAGTTAACTTTTATCTTATTTATGTTCTTATTTTGTTTATTTATTTTTCTTTCTTTCATTATGTTTAGTTAAATTTATTATGTCAAGGTAAAGAGGTTACACTAATATTTGATATTTGATACTAACATGTTTTACATTCGTAATCTTGTTCACTCTTTAATACTTGACTTGTTAAATGACTAGTCTAGATTTATGATGTATAACACTTGGTATAACAAATGCTTGGCACTTTCATAGCCCATACTGTATGATATAACCAACACCTGAGCTATTAAAGAAACTTGATTGTTATTAACATAAATTATAATCATGAATGCTTGACGAGATTTACAAGTACTAGCATTAATTGAATAAGATGACTAATGTAATCATATTAACAATATATAATCTGATTGGAACCTCCTTTGTGTGTGCTTTCCAATTCAATAATAAGAGTTTATACTATACTTGTTTGATATACCATTAGTGGAACCTCTAACCTTGACATTTGTTATTATTATTGCTTAATCATCTTCCATCTCAAAGTTCTCATTAACTTCTTTTTCTCCTCCTTCTTCTTCTTTATTATTAATATTATTACCACCACTACTACTATTAGTATTACTATTACTATTACTAGTAGTATTGTTAGAATTATTACTATTGTTGTTGTTGTTGTTGTGTTATTGTTATCTATAATTTATACAATTAACCTCTCTGTGGTTCGACCCTGATCTTGTCGGGTTATTTATTACTTCGACACTCTTGCACTTAAAAGAAGACATCAATATTTTAGCCATGTCATTAAGAGCTTGTTTATATTTTATAATCTTAATTTTATAACATCAAATGATAAATATCCAATGTCAATAACTAATATATCAATCGATTCAATAACAAAGAATGACATCCTTAGCTTTAAGAATGATTATTCAAGTTATAATCAAATTTTCATCATTAAAATGATGTTTCAAATATCGCTTTTAGATGTCCTGGCTCATTAGAAATGTATAAGTAGGTAGTGATATCATTTATCCTTAATATTATTAGTGTTACTCATAAAAAGCTATGATTTTCATTTTTCATAACATAATTAATCATAAAATAGAGGTTGATAATATTATGATGAAATAAAAATAAAAATCTATTTATTTAGATAAGTTATGTTATATCCTTGAGTGAATGTGAATGTATAATTTCAAGATAAATTTATAAAAATATACCTTTTGCATGCATGTATAGGGGTAAACAAAAACAAAGTAAAGGTGATTGTGAAAGCTTGACCTCTGTAAATAAAAAGGAAATTGTAAAGCTTTGTAAGAAAAATTAATTTTCTAAAGAGGTTCATATCAAACTCTTTAAGAAAGATTATGTCATTTACTAAACTACCAAGATGGAATAACATATATAAGTTTCAATGGATTAATATTAAATTGAATTTCAAGAAATAAAAACTTATCTAACTAAACTTTTAGCATTGACCATACCAAAACCTATGTAGCTTTTGAGGCCATATATTTTAGTTGTACAAGGATTGATTAGAAAAATGCTTATATGGAAAAATGAAATTGGTTATGAATAAGTTATCAATTATCTTGATCATGTCTTTATAGAGGTTGAAAAATAAAATATTTTAATAAAAAAACTTTGTTTATCCTTATATTTTATTAGTGTAAAGTTATATTGGTACATACTAATAGTTGAACTATATATATTATAAAATAAATTTGATAAAATATGTATTCTCTAAACCTTTCTCTCACGATCAAATTGGTAATTAGATATTAACATTGTTTGAACTTGATTTACATTGTATTCCTTAAAGAATAGTAAAAGTCAAGCTTTGATTTATTTATTAATTGATCATCACTACGTTGATATCAATCATGAACTGGAACAAGATATAAATTTTATTATCACAAGACATGTTTCACAAATGTTAAAGTTTAATGGATTAAAAACAAAAAATAAAGCTTACTCACAAGTGTTAATCATTTCTCTAGAAGGACATAAAATAGTTTTATTATTTTATTTTGATTTTTCATGTACTAATAATCAAATTGTGTATGAGACCTTAATTAAAATTTTAAAGATACTTATAGATTTAAAAGCTTAATTAACTAGAGTAACAGGAGAATCATTACTCATTATAAAAAAATTGGCTAGTGAGTATAAGTGTGAATATCTTACACTAACTTTATACTATACGATGAACAAATACCCTATTAATAGATTTTCTAATTTAATTATTTTTTTTGTAAGAGGAGATACTATATAAACCAATAACTTAGCTCAATATGGATTAAGATCTAAAATGATCATCGATCATCATGAAATCATTTATATAAGGATTATTAATTGACCAACATAGCTAATATATAGTAAGGATGTAATGATGATAAAAAAAAAGTTCATATTATATGGTAAAAAAACACAAAATAGTAAGATAAAACTATTGTAAAACTTTTCTAGCAAGTAACAAGTAGAAGGTCTTAATAAATCAAATGGCATTGATCCATAAAATGATTAAGGAGAAGAAATCAAATCTTATATGTAGGATCCTTCATAAAAAGTTTAAAAGTTATGTAGACTAAAAACATCATATTATGTTTTTCTAGAAGATGAATTATGTAAGAGATATAAAACTAGAATTTTTATAAAATATTTAGAACCAAAAGAAGCATTATTAGTCATGATTGATGTTTATAAAGGACCTTGTAAGGTTGTTGATCACTCAAATATTCTTTTAATAAATATGATACCAGTTTATGATTTCTATATTCTAATGAGAAACAACTATACAATAGGAACTTAATCCTAATAAGAGACATCTAAAAACCTCTCACACACACACACACACACACACACACACACACACATATATATATATATATGATTCTAGTCATTGTTTAAAGCGACTATGTGACCTTTTATATATTGATACAAAGTTTAAATCTTGTTTAAATCTGTAAATTCTAATATATATAAATGTATGAAGTAAAGAGATTTTATTGAATTCTAATGTAATATAAAATCCTTATCTATTGATACCATATAAATCATAAGCTAATCTTATGGATTCTTAATAGTTATTTTATTGATAACTCTTACATTAAATAATATTAGACTTTCCAGTTTTTGTGCATCTTTAACCTTTCATGGTTGATTATTTTTTATTGGTTGACTATGAACCTTATCTCTTGGTTGATTAATTTCTCAAATCTCATGTCTAATTAAAAGTCTTCTAGTATGATCAATTTTACTATATTTAATCAATCGTAGCTCTCTTTTTTTGTTTGTTATAAACAATGATCGTTATTATATGTTTGATATATAAATGTTTATTTTTGGTATAAGTAATTTCCCTTATATTCTTTTATTTTTCAAATAAAGAAATATTTCCCTATAAAATCTAAACTTAAAATAAATTGACCGAATTAATAAATTTTGATGTGGAAAATGTCATTATTCATTAAAAATCATCAATCATTTTTAAAATATGTTTGAAAAATAAAAAATTTCATCCAATTAATTCAATTTAAAGGTGAAATGTGGTATAGCTTTTAGGAGCCATGTTTAAGTTTCTAAAATACTTTTAATTATTCATTTTTAACTTGAAAAACCCTTAACCTCTATTTTACAGGTTTATAATTTTATTTTATTTTTTATAGATTCAACCAAGAATCCTAAGCACTCTTTTTTTATTTTTAAGATAAAAATAAAACCTTGCAGCTTTATTCCAACAAAACTCATGATTATCTTACTTTGTAAACTAATTATCAAAGTCAATTAATCTATCATCAACGTTTACAAGAATTATTGAGGGAACTTCTAGGACAATTCTATAAAAAGGTACCTAAATACAAAGAAGATTAATATTTCACTCTAGACATTAAGAAAGAAAAAAAAATTCCCCTTATAATGATCACTTAAATCTGATACCTAAAAGAAAACAATTATTTAATAGCCTAATAGTGTTACCATTGAATATCTCAAATGGTTAGTAAGAAGCAACACCATTTTGATAACTAATTAAGATGCCCAAATATTTTTGATGTAATCTAACTATCTAAACTTTATTTCAAACCCAATAAAGACATAGTAGTTGTCCTTTCTCTATTATAGTCAAAGTCTAACAATGCTTTTATATTCAAGTATGGACCACAAACCATTACATTATATGATATGGCTATAATAAACAAAGTTTACCAAATTGAAAATGAATTTTACGCATTTTATATAGATTGATATCAATTTTTTTAAAGATTTGATAATGAGTGTACTTGAATTTAATGTGTTTATTAAAAAAAAAAAAGAAACACCGAACTTTCTATTTTAAAAAACAACTAACCTTTATATTGTATTAGGTATGTAAACACCTTACATGCTCTAAAATAAAAAAAATCCTACCAAATCATACTAAAAAATAAAAATAGCTTTGGTAGATGTTAGAATAACAGCTCTGTGCATTTTTATTGCAAGCTATATTTGTATGGCTTTAGAAGAGTGTTAGGCCAATACCAAAAAAAAAATCATAATGAAAGGAAACATCTATAAAGTGTTATTATAGATAAGAAGCTATTTGTTTTTATAAGGTTTGGTACTATAAGGATACAACTATAAGGAAAAACCTATTATGATCTTCATTCTAAGATTTGTCATTTAAAAAATATATATAGACTTTCCTCAATCTAATAGATACGAGTGATATAACAATATCTCTTTCAAAATCAATAAGGTCAAAACCTCAATAAATCTTATTTCTTCAACTCTAGAAAATAAAAGTTGAAATAAAAAAGGATAATACTATAGTCTAGAGAAACATCATGACATGTAAAGATCTATCTTATAGGCTGGTGATGGATCTTATCCCAAGAAATAATTATTATTCTTTTAAATTATAAAACCCTTACTTGATAGCTATACAATCAA